CTAAATGACGTACTCTTCAGATATGGGTTGTCTATAAAACCCAGAATTAATGTATGAGTTGTGGGACTGAATGTCAGTACGTTTGGTGGTATACGTGAGATAGACGTCTCAGATATGGTTAGAAATTTCAATGATTTTAGGCTATAAAACTCTTTTTCGGGTATTTGTGTCAAGTATTGCTCCGAAATAATTAATTCTTGTAATTCATTCAATCCATTGAACGCATTGTCGGCAATTGTCGTCAATTTCTTATTATTTGTACTCAAAGTAAGTTTTTTGAGTGTAGGTATGTTTTGGATTAATGCGAAAAGTGAATTAGTATCAAGGTTAGGTGTGTCTGTAATCTCAAAGTCGACTAAGTGTAGGCTATGATAAGCATTCACATCAATTGATTTCAATGACTGACCCTCGTCCATTATAAACTCCTTAAACGTAATGTCGGCGAAAGTGTTGGCATTTATTTGCGTAATACTTGTGTTCAAAACAACTAAATAATTGAATGATTTTTGATTTGTCCCCAAATTTTTACTTATTTTTGAAAAGATTGGCTTCAAATCAGTGATTGACTTGTCGTCGCATACGAGCGCCGATACCTTTTCTGACATGAAATCTTCAACGCAATAACACGGCTCCAGTAGCTTATCGTTTGGACATTTCGATGGCTTTTCACACACGACTAATGCAAGGATACATACAATCAGATATACAAACTGTACAAACATTTTAGATTTAGTTTGTGAATAACTTGCGATAACTTTCAATATAATAAATTTACTTTACAAATTACATAGAATTTTATAATTGAAACGATTTACATCTGTTTAAACATTTAAGTAATTGATTCCTAGAATATAGTATAATAATTATATCAATCATATAGTAATAATTGTACATGTACCTTGTAATTTCAGAAACATTTTACACAAAATTACATTTAAAAATTTTCTTTTATTTGAACAATATACAGTAATTGTTTAATTTTATTTTATTTTAAAATAAACTAAGCTAGCTACCAACAAAGTTATTAATTTAATAATTATTATATTAATTAGATTCTTAATACTAATAAAATTCTAAAGTATAAATCAAATAAATACAATTTTAATTAGCAAAGCAATTGGGCAATTTAACTTTCTGCATAACACCTGGATCACTTGGTTTACTGCGGATCTCATACATAACAATACGGGACTCCATGTCCGGCTCATCGCTGAGCCATTCATTACGGCTATCATTACAGTCGAGTCTATTGTTCACAAACGTTAACCTATTCTTCACATTCACCTCAAAATATAATTTAAACACTTTTTCGTCAATAAATTTCCAATCACTCGATGCCCTCATATACTCGACCACTAGATTCATATCCCGTCCCACGTATGTCATGGACCCGGCAACAAAACTTCGGCCATGTATACCCGGGTTATTGGACAGCCATGTTGTGAAGTGGGGCTGTATTGATGTGAACGCAAATACATCTCTCGGTATTTGACTGATAGATGTCTGTCCAATGTATAGCTTCACGAGTGATTTCAACGCATAGAAAGCCTTAACGCCAATGGATTTAATAGATTTACCCATAAGTGTAATGTATTTCAATTTTGTTAATCTGGGACTGAAAGCCAGCGCCGGTATATAATCCAAATTACAGTCCCTTAGTGTCAGCGCCTGTATTGATACCATTTTGTTGATTATGGCGAATATATCGGTGCCGGTAGTGGTGGTGGTGTTGACCGGACTGTGCACAAGTCGCGGGCAGTCGTGTATAAAAAGTTTTTGCAATACCTGTCCCCAGAAGGCGTTGATGTCTATTCTGGTGAGCGATTTGTCCCGAAATACGACAAACTCTTTGAATCTAATGTCACCGAAACTGTTGGCCGGGATTTGCGTCAAATTAGTGAACATTATTCGCAATGAATTGAAATGTTTTTGATTTTCGTTGAGGTTTTCGCTTATGTTTTCAAACATTAGCTTTAAGTCCGTTATGGCGCTGCCCTTACACTCCAGGTCGGGCACCTCCATGTCATTGCTGTACATTTTACATACACACGGCGCCAGTAGGTTTTGATCAGGACATATTTTTAGTGCTACGCTAGTTATTAATAAATTTATTACAATACCACTAAATATACTTTTAAAAGTATTCATTTTAAAACAATTAGATTTTATATTGATATGTTATAATATTGAAAAATAATTATTTTTACAAAAAAGTACTTAATAGTTTGCATTTATTACAATATGCTAAGTTTTTCTGTAAATGTAAATAAAACTATTACTCTATTTTACTATTTATTCAGTTGCAAATAACAATTTAATTATAATGTCATTGTATAGAACTTTTTATTAAGTATTTGAACGAATTTATAAACTAATTAGCTATTAAAGTAGATTTATATTGTCAATTATATTGATTATGTAATTTTAGACCATTTCAAATGTTTTAAATATCCTAATAAAACAAAAAGGAGACATTTCACAAATATTTCATTAAATATAAAATAAATAAGTAAAATTAAAACCTGTTGATATATGTTGGCAATTGTCATTATTAATGTTTTGTATAATTAATTCATTTATACTAATCCACAACAATGAACCGGGTTGAACATTATCTTATTGCTTATAATCCAATCATTGCGAGTATCACTAGAATTGAAATACCTTGGTGGTATAGCTAATTCATTACCGGCATTGGCTATGAAAAAGGTTTGAATGTGTTTTCATTAAAATACTATAACTCCAAACACCTTTGTACATGTATTCAATTTCACGATTAACTTTGATATTCACTTAAATTGTAAACCAGTTAAGTTAGGCCTTTTCAAATTAATTATCAAATAGCATCCTGAGTAAATAAATTGAATTAATCTCAAATTGTTAATCATATCAATTTATTAAAAATAAAAGTTTAAGAATCCGTTTACAATCTGAACATGTGCAAAACTTTTATTCAATAGAAAATATTTTCGCATAAAAATAAATTTTATCTATTATTAAGTTGTACTTGATCAATTGTACTTCAGGTATTTAAGGAGTACAAATATATATATATAAATTTTATATAAAAAAATATGATTATTTTATAATAAAATAATTGGTTCTAGGCCAAATAAGTATTTCTACGTTCTAGGTTGCAAGTACATGCATACGTCATGTAGCATAACACTTGAACTTAAAGTACACTGATAACCTGATTCCCTGTTGACGTGTAAAACAAAAATTTTATATAAATATAAGCAATTTATGGGCAAAAAAGTCATTCAATTGTGTTTCACTCAAAACATAATTACAATGAGATTCATAACAACTGTTTTGTTAATCCAAACGCTGATCACTATATTAACTATAGGTATACAACAGAGTAAAAACTATTTCACTGATGAATAAAAATATTATAAAACTTTAGTGGAAAGCCGTCGGGAATGTATACCACGAGCCGGAAAGGACACCCCTTATTGTGTTTGCAATGCAACGGTTTGTGACGATTTAGAGGCCGTAACCAAAGCTCCGAAGGGAACGGTATTACTGTTTGAGACCAACAAAGCCGGGGAACGACTCAAACAATCGACGCTTAAAATACAGTCCAAACAAAATGTGTACGAAATTTATTATTTTGAAAATTAAACTTTAATTAATTTTAATTAATAAATACAACTTTAAACCCATTCAGTGATAGCGAGACAAACGACGAAACAATTGTATTGACTATCGATAAGACCGTAAAATACCAGAAAATTATAGGTTTTGGGGGCGCCTTCACAGACGCCGCCGGAGTCAGCCTTAATAGTCTGCCCAAACAAATGGCCACAAATATAATCCGGGACTATTACTCCAAAAATGGCATCGAGTATAATATGGGTCGTGTGCCCATAGGTGGCGCCGATTTTTCCCCACGTTTTTACACGTATGATGATGATCACCAGGGTGACTTCAAGCTTAGCACGTTTAAAATACAACCGGAAGATTACGATTTAAAAGTATAGTTTCATAATTGTGTTCTTGATGCTTAATTTTTGATTATATTTGCAGATGCCGTATATAAAATTAGCTCAAAATATAACTGCTAATAAATTGACCCTGTTCGGCAGTCCCTGGTCATCACCGACTTGGATGAAACATGAGGGACCCTATGGCCCGTTGAATGGCGGCTCTCTAATTGGTCAGCCGGGACAACAATATTTTAAAGCCTGGGCTAATTATTTTGTTAAGTAAGTGTTATCATGCGATTAATTTTATTGTTTGGTCAATAATTATTTGCTTGTTTATAAATTATAATTGTATCTTCTTTATAGATTTCTGGACGCATACAAATCAAATGGAATCCAATTCTGGGGGCTGACCGTCCAGAATGAACCGAGTGGTGTGGGTCCCGGGAAATGCGGCTGGAATTGCTTGGGGTTCAATGAGACGATGGAACGAGATTTTGTCAAAATGGACCTTGGTCCAGCACTCGAAGCGGCCGGTTATGGACCTGATAAATTAAGCTTAATGATATTTGATAATGGGTCTGTTTACATTTTAAGCCCCAAAGAATTAAACATTATTTTAAATGTACTTTTTAACGCTGAAAACGAATCTGAATCTTAAATATTTTTATCTCAATCCGTTCGGGAGATATTCTGGTCAGAGATTGCTATAGAATCCCATTATAAGAGCATAGCTCACTGGCCACCCACCAGAGGCGCCACTTATTATGTTTATTACATTATCTTACCATTTGAGGGCTTAAAATCAAAAACCAGACTAAATATCAAAATAGACTTAATTATAAAGGTACTAATACTATAAGAGCTCAATACAGGTTTTAACCTATGACCCTAGAATTGGTCAGTGTTAAACCTGTTTTGTTTATAAGTTTGCTCTTATAGTATTAGTTCCTTTATAATTAAGTCTATTCTGAAATTACTTCAGGTTTTTGATTTTAAACACTCATTTGTATGGTTAGGTTAGGTTGGTTTGGAAATATACTCATAGGTTAGGTTAGGTTAGGTTAGGTTGGTTTGGAAATATACTCATAGGTCAGGGTGAGTTAGGTTCGTTGATGACCCGAATATCTCCCGAACGAATTGCGATAAAAATATTTTAACCGCAGATTCGTTTTTAGTGTTAGAAAGTAAATTTAAAATAATGTTTAATTCTCTGGGGTTTAAAATGCAACCAGGCCTGCTAATTTACCAGGCGGATCTGGACATATGTTTAATTGGATTGAGACGATCCTTAAAGACTCAGAAACGGCTAAATATATACATGGTTTGAGTGATGAATAATTAATTTTACGCAAATAGTATCATGATTATTTTTGTGACACTGTTTAAAATAGGAATTGCTTTCCATTGCTATGGAAACGGGGAGGTTTGGGATGATTTGGAGCTTCTTCACAAACGATACCCCGATCAGTTTGGGATGTCGACTGAATGCTGCCAAGAGTTCAGTAAAAGAGAAACCCGTACCGTGATGGAGCTAGGTGTTTGGGACCACGCTCAGTCCTACGCTAGAGATATAATGAATGTAAGTAATTTTTAATTATAGCACTATGAAAAAACATTTATCATTTGTAAGTCAGTTAACATGAACAGAATCAATAATTGTAACACAATATAAAAAATTATCATTTTACATTTTTATCAAAAATTTATTATTCCTAAAGTGATGCCATTAATTACACATAGAATTTGCAACATTGGTCCCGAGGTTGGGTTGAGTGGAATCTGGTGCTCGACATGTATGGTGAGCCCAATTGGGCCAATATGTCTGCATTGGCACCGATTCACGTCAACCACACGGCCAACGAGTACTACAAGGACTCGACTTTTTATATTTTGGGCCACTTTTCCAAATTCTTGGTCAAAGATTCGGTGAGAGTTGACTCGAAAGCGGACAAATCGGTCGGCGATTTTAGTTACGTGGCGTTTGTCAGACCCGATGATAACGCGACGGTTTTAGTCGTCTATAATCTTAGAGACAAACCGCAAGAGTTTAAAATTGTTGATAAAAATGTCGGTCATATAAACACCCAAATGGAGGCGCGTTCGGTACAGACGTATATCTACTGGGATTAAATGTTTTGCAAGTTAAATGCCTAAGCTTGGCCAATTGGTCAAATCTTAATTTCATACCAATTCTATAATTTTAATATATCATACAAATAAAAATATTTGGACATAATTTAACAAAATTTGATATGTTTTGTATACTTTTTATATACAGTAATACTATATATTTATATATTTAATTATTATTAATTTTATACAACATAGTTATGTGTACTTTAGCTAAATCAATTAATAATTTACTAATTATAATTGTAATCACATATTAATAGCAAAATATTTCAAATTAATTAACGTTTTAATCAGTTTCGTGAATTATTTGTTCATGTCATAATCGTATGATATCTCAACAGTAAATATCGTTGCAATACATGTAAATATGTTATTGGAGTCTAAATATATATTGTATAATTACAAATAATAGTTGCAAAATTAAATACGATATTTAAATACAGTATTTTAATATACAGTAGCCCAATAAATAGCTTACTGATCAATATGCCGGTGCTTAAGGTTAGGTCGATCGGCACTAAACCAAATTATTGCCGTTAACTGTAACCATATATAAAATTAATTAAAGTTACTTATATGGCCCTGCTACTTGTGTGTCACAAAATGTCGTATGACAAAAGTATATGAAAACTCCATGTTAATTCTTTTATATACTGTATGATAAACTATTATATAAAGTATTATATAAAAAATATCATATAAAAGTATAATATAAAAAGTATATAACATATCAAATTTTGTCAAATTGTGTCCAAATATTTTTATTTGTATGGTTTATTAAAATGATAGAATTGGTATGAAATTAAGATTTGAAAATTGGCCAAGCTTATTCGCAATGAATTGAAATGTTTTTGATTTTCGTTGAGGTTTTCACTGATGTTTTCAAACATTAGCTTTAAGTCCGTTATTGCGTTGCCCTTACACTCCAGGTCGGGCACCTCCATGTCATTGCTGTACATTTTACATACACACGGCGCCAGTAGGTTTTGATCAGGACATATTTTTAGTGCTACGCTAGTTATTAATAACTTTATTACAATACCACTAAATATACTTTTAAAAGTATTCATTTTATAAAAATTAGAATTTAAATTAATATTTAATAATATTGAAAAATAAAATAATTTTTACAAAAAGTATTTTATAGTTTGCATTTATTACAATATGCTAAGTTCTGGTGTAAATAAAACTATTAGCCTATTTTTACTATTTATTCAGTTGTCAATTAATAACAATTTAATTATAGTCATTGTATTGAACTTTTTGTAACGATATTTACAGTTGAGATATGAGATAAAACCATAAAATTGGACTAATAATTGGTTGTTAAGGGCTCATTCAATAAGTACGTACGCAAAAACTTGTCGAAAAATTTACCCCCCCTCCCCCCGACACGCCCCTCGTACATAGGTCTTTAACATTGTGTACGCATGCCTTGGCTGACCCCCCCTCCCCCCGCCCAGTGCGTACGTACTTATTGAATGAGCCCTAATAATGTAGTCGACAGGTGTTAGGGTGTAGTTTGTCGGCGATTATGGCTTTACTGACCAAAAGTGACTGCTATTCGAAGGCTTTGCACGAAAGCCTAACTTTTGATTCCAAATGATAACACTTCTGGTTGTAAACGAGTGCTGCCTTCTAATGATTGTTGGCTGACTTGCGATCGGAGATAACAATCAAATCTCAGACCAAAATCACAATTTAGTTATTAAACAATGGGTTTCCGGCCCGACTTGGGCAGCCCCTCCCGTCCTATTTGGTAGGCAAGGCTTTAAAGCTGTTACCAGCGGTCCATCCCCGGGGCAAACAAATACTTTGTAAGCCGAGGCCAGACAAAACACGAGGTAATGAATAAACTGTTTTTATTTGTAAGGTAAGGGGCCATTCAATAAGTACGTACGCAAAAATTTGTCTAAAAATTGACCCCCCCTCCCCCCGAAACGCCCCTCGTACATAGGACTTTAACATTGTGTACGCATGCCTTGGCTGACCCCCCC